CAAGGAAGGCCCCGCCGCTGCGCAACCAAAGTCTCCAAGGCGGCCTCGGTGGCCTCCAAGACGGCCAGAATGGCCCAAGATCGCCCGCAAGTTCGCCTACGATGACCACCAGGACGACCCGAGAGAGTCCAAGATGCCTCATGCTGCCTCCCAATTCGCCGAAGAAGCCTCCAAGACGGCTCCAGACCGCCCAAGAGGCCCCCGAGGGGCCTCCAAGAGGTCCTCCAGGAGGGCCCGAAGATGCCCAACCCATTGATGTTCTCTTGGTTGTCCAAGGTTTTTGTTTAAAGTTGCTTCGTTTCGGACCTCCGACGGCCCAAGAAGGCCCAAGAGGCCCCCAAGATCTTCCCCAGATCGCCCAAGAGGCCTTCAAGTTGGAACCAGAACGGCCCAAGCACCCAAGACGGCCCAGAGGAGGGCCCAAGAAGGTGCAAAAGGCCTCCAACTCCAAGACGGCCCTGAAGCACCCCAAGAGGGCCCCAAGATGGTCCCGAGAGGCCCCCGAGACGGCCCCCGACGGCCCAGGATTGGCCTAAGATGGCCAAAGAGGCTGCTTCCGTCGTCGTCAGACGGGCCATGAACGCAGCAAGAAGGCCAACGAGGCCCCCGAGAAGCCTCAAAGGCCTCCAAGAGGCCCGAGGAGGACCCCACGAGGCCTCCAAGAGGCCCCTCCAGGAAGACTCCCAGGAGACCCCAAGAATGACCAAAGAAGCTCCGAAAAGGTCTTCTCATTTTTCCTCATCCTCCTTTTTCCTCCCTGTCCTCATCTTCCACGTCCTTCCCTACGTCTTGCCCGAAGGGCTTCCACAACGGCTTGGGGAACGCATGGCCCAATAGTCGCGAAACTTTGCCCAAACGTTTGGTCACACAGTCGTATCTTGAAAGGCAGGGGGCGGAGGTGATTCACCGTAGGTGCCTTCGATAATGCATTCAGTCGGCAACAGGGAACGACGGGCACAGATCCCAGACAGCGCAGGCGAGCTCAAGCCAGCTCAGGAGACGCTCTCTATCAGTTCTGCACCATGCAAAGAATGTGCAAGCTGGCCACCAGACCGGAGCTCGCACCTAGAGGGGAATACTTATTCCAGTGCGACCCTACCTAGGAGTGGGAGCCTCTAGGTGCGCTATGCTATGCTATGCTATGTTATGCTCTGCTATGCTATGCTGTGCTATGCTATGCGGCGCTGTGCTATGCTAAGCAATGCTATGCTATGAAATGCTGCGCTATGCTATGATTTGCTATGCTATGCTATGATATGCTGAGGTATGCTATGCTATGCTTGGCTATGCTATGCTTGGCTAATGCTGCGCTGCGCTATGCTGCGCTGCGCTAAGCTAAGCTAAGCTAATATGAGATAAGCTAAGCTAAGCTAAGCTAAGCTAAGCTAGGCTAGGCTAGACAAAGCAAAGCTAAGCTAAGCAAAGCTAGGATGAGATAAACTAAGCTAAGCTAAGCTTAGCTTAGCTTAGCTTAGCTTAGCCAAGCTGGGTGAACCCAGGGGGCGCAACTGGGGGAACCGCGGGGCGGATGCCGGGGGAACCGCCCGGGGCGCGTTCCACTGCCCGGCCCCTCAAGCCACCGATTAAGAACCCTTCTAGGCAGAGCCTAGGTAGGGAAAAACAAAGAGCACGCGGATGGAACATCTTCCACGTACGAGACAAGTCACCCTACGCACGACATCGTCGGACAACATCGTGTATAACAGGAGCCAAGCTCGTAGTCAAGCGTTTCCAGTAAAAGCGCATGCCAACACACACTTGCGCACTGAGCATCCCCAATGGCTGCAGGGAAAGGCTGGGCGCAACTTCAAGACGAGCGACAACACGGACTTCGAAGCGACATTTTGGAAAATTGGCCATCTACGGTTAAAACTTACAGCTTGGCCACGGTTAATGTCACTGCGGCTTTTCTGCAGCCCCCATGGAACATCAGGAAATCTTGGACACCCTGGAAATCCTAAAATGTATCATTATCATGGCAACGTGCTCCTTCGAAAGAACGGACAAGAGTAGCATTGCGCGTATGCGACATCACTACTGCTACTACTGCGGTCGCCAGCCTTGGCCGAGACGCAGAGTTCTCCCGATGAGGGGCCGCGAAAACTTCTCACACCCCACACACAACATCTGCGTCTGACTTCTCCGACCTCATGAGGGCGTCTGCGGCGGCCTTCCGCACGTCGACGGCGAACTGGGTGTAGACGCCTATCAGGGCGATGATGGCGAGGATCAACAGGCACTGGGAGATCCTGACAGTGTCACCGAAGATAAACGCATCCATCATGTAGGCGATGCCGATATCGGCGGACGCAGCGATCCTGGTCTTCAAGTTGCCGGCCGTCAAGATGGCCGTGTTGTAAAGCGCGACCATCACGGGGAGCGGCATGACACCGCCGACGAGCATGGGGAGGCCCCAGCCATGGAAGAGACCTCGCGACAGGTGCTTGTGCTCAAACACGAACATCAGTATGATGTTGAACACGGACTTGTACAGCTCGTTCACGAGGAAACACCTGAGCGTCTCGGCACCCGAATGCTCCTCCAGGTCGTCGAGGCAGGACTTCGCCGTAGCCTCAAAGGCGATGTCGCCAACTCCGTCTGAGAGGGCTGCACCAAGGCCCAAGAGCAACCCGACGAGCGACATGTTGATTTCGCCCTCGTCGCCGAGAGAGTAGACGATGATGCACAAGAGCAAAGCCGCCATGGTCAGGAGCTGCGTGCGGTACGGCGTGGTCCGCGTCAACCAGATCTCCCCAAGGACGCCCGGCAGAATCGCGCACTTGTTGAGCAGAACGACCAAGGTCGCGCTGAGGCCGTTCGCGAGCGCGAAGTTCTCGAGGACGAAGGTCAAAGCGGAAAAGATACCTGGGAGGCTGGCGCTGGCATATTTCTTGCTACACACCTTGCGGACCTCCGCGCGGCCGTGCACCGCGAGGAGGAGGAAGAGAAGCACGACGCAGAGCAGCAGCGAACCGAACAGCAACGGCGCGATGCAGGAGGACCCAGCCGGCATGTCGTCCTGCGCCCAGCGGAAGCCAGCGGAGCGCCACGCGAGGGAGATCGGGAGGCTGGTCAAGACAGTCACCCTTGCCGCCGTGCTCGTCTTCGTCGCGGCCACAGACATGCGCGCACAGGGGGCAGGGCCGGGTGCGGCCCACAGGCGAACGGTCGGTCGAGCAAGCGAATGGGTCTAGCGTAGACGGGCCTTGCGCCAGAAAAGCTTGAGCCAAGACGGCTGTGGAGGCGCTCATGGGCCGGTCTTGGGGGACATCTGGCGCCGTCCACGTATGCCGAAACAGAGCGAATATGCTAGAAAGATGCGTGCTGCTTGAAAGTTGGTTCGATGTTTACCTCTCGGTGTCCTCTTGGGGGCCATCTCGAAACCGTCTTGCGGCCACCGGAGACCGTTTTGAAACCACCTTGAACTGGTTGGAACTGTCTGGAAGCCACCTGGAGCCGTGCGCCAATCCACTCCTCTTCCTCCTCCTGCGAACCTTCTCCTCCTCCTTCGCCTCCTCCTGAGGTCCTCCTCCTCCTCCTCCTCCTCCTGAGGTCCTCCTCCTCCTCATGCGGTCCTCCTCCACCTCCTCCTCCTCTGAAGAAACATCGAGCTTAAGTCGGCGATACTTCGTCGATAGATCGGCGACGGGCCCTCGACTCCTCCTCCTCTGAAGAAACATCGAGCTTGAGTCGGCGATGCTTCGTCGACAGATCGGCGACGGGCCCTCGACGGCGAAACCGAGCGCGCTCCTGCTGGGCAGGGCAGGCTCTGGGGCCCCGATCGGCCACGACTGGGCGATTCTGGAGGTCGGTGCTGCCCCCCCCCATCCCCCAAATGTTGCCTTTGACCCTCCCTCCTCCTCCCTCCTCCTCCTCCTCTCCTCCTCCTCTCTCCTCCTCCCCCTCTCCTCCTCCTCCTCCTCCTCTCCTCCTCCTCCTCCTCCTCCTCCCTCCCTCCCTCCCTCCCTCCCTCCCGTTTCCGGGTATCACAGGTCTCGGCTCTCGTTCCATGAATGCGCGGTCCTCCGAGGCCCCACGCGCGCTCCCCAGAGCACAGCCCTCCTGCCGAGCCACGTGCGGACGGCCCCGGGACCCCGCGAGGGCCCCCCGAGGCCGAACACTGAGAACCACCTGCGCCTCGATTGCCTCACTACGCTGGGGGTCTGGAGTCCCCCCCTGGGTCCCAGGAGACGGCCGGCCACTCCGCGCCCACGAGGCCGCCGGTCAGCGCCGGCCGTCGGCCCCCCCCACAGCTCCCCGAAGCGCGCCGCGGCCCCCGGGTCCAGCGCGTCGGCCGCGCCCCGCCGCGGCCGCAGCGCCGTCCGCGGCGGCGCCGCGGGCGCCGCGGGCCGCGCCGCGAGCGCCGCCCGCCTCGACGGCGCCCTCCGCGAGCCTTGCGGGCCCATCGGCGGCGGGCGGCGCAGCCCGAGGGGGCGCCGAGCGGGAGCCCAGCGCCGCCGCTCGGGCTGGGCGCCCTGGGCGGCCGGATCGGCGGCCGCGGGGGCTCGAGGCCGAGGCGGCGCGGACTTGGCCTCGCTGGGCGGGACCGAGCTGCAGGGCACCGAAGAGCATGGGAAGGAAAGCGGTCTAGAGCAGGCGGCACGAGGACGCGTGTGCCGAGGGCGTCCGCCCGAGGGCGCTGTGCCGGCGCGCGCTGCGCCTGGTTGTGCGATGGGGCGGACCCATACGCGGGTCGCAAGCCATCCTGATGGTATTGAGCGCGCACAAGATCGGCTCCTCCTCCTCCTCCTCCTCCTCCTCCTCCTCCTCCTCCTCCTCCTCCTCCTCCTCCTCCTCCTCCTCTTCCCCAATCCCCATCATCATTTCACATGTTTGGTATTATTCGTTTGTATTACCTATCATCATCATCATCATCATCATCATCATCATCATCATCATCATCATCATCATCATCATCATCATCATCATCATCATCATCATCATCATCATCATCATCATCATCATCATCATCATCATCATCATCATCATCATCATCATCATCATCATCATCATCATCATCATCAGCATCATCATCATCCCTATCCTCATCCTCATCCAGAGTCATCGTCCTCATCACCATCAGCGACACGATCATCATCATCATCATCATCATCATCATCATCATCATCATCAGCGTCATCATAATTATGATCATGATCATGATCATCATCATCATCATCATCATCATCGTCCATCATCATCATCATCAGCAGCACCGTCACCATCAATAGCAACATCACCATCATCATGGCCATCATCATCAGCATCGCCAATCATAATCACCACCATCACCATCACCATCGTCGCCGTCGTCGTTGTCATCAACATCATCATCAACGTCGTCGTTGTCATTAGTAGCGTCGTCATAAACATTACCAGCCCGAGCAGCACTAACCCCCATATAATCACCACAACCATCCGCATCACAACCATAATATCACCGTAACCCTTTTGACCACCATCAGCATTGCAATGATCATCATCGTCATCAGCACGACCAACATCAACATCAACATCAGCATCATCATCAGCACCATCGTCATCATCACCACCACCACACCACCACCATCATCACCACCACCACCATCATCATCATCATCATCATCATCACCATCATCATCATCATCATCAGCAGCATCAGCATCAGCATCAGCATCAGCATCAGCATCAGCATCAGCATCAGCATCATCATCATATCCTTCTACACCCCAGGCCACCCTAACATTTTTGTGTGGCGGGCGTCACGGGCGACTCCACCGAAGGGCGCAGCGGCGAGCGAGCGAGACGCACGGGGAACAGTGAAGGAGAAGGGTGACCCAACGCACCCACACAACACCGAGGAGGAAAGAGAAGAGGGAGAGGAGGGCGGGCCAGAAACAGGCTTGAGCCGACGGTGTTCGGCGCATCGGCGCGACCACGACGGCCCTCAGTTACACCGGAGATGAGGAGTGCAAGACGCGGCCATCTCCTGCCGCACCGCAGGCCGCCCCAACATTTGTGTGGCGGGCGTCCCGGACGATTCCACCGAGAGGCGCAGCGGCGAGCGAACGAGACGCACGGAGGAGAGAGGAGGACAATCAGGAGGACCCAACGCATCCACACAAAACCGAGGAGGAAACCCGAGACCGAGAGAAGTGGCGACGAAGCGCGTCGCCGATAAAACATCTCCTCGATACACTAGGCGGCCAGGGTAGGGAAGCGGAGTGCCCAGAAAGGCTATACAACCCTCGAGGTGACCCGTCAGACTGGCAACATGTTTTACTCAGACGGGTCGGGCCTACAGGCACGTACAAGCACGAGAGCATTCACATATACATCCAATCGTGAAATAAACCAAAGGGTAAATATCACACAGAATTCGGTCGCAACGCTCGTGAGCCAACAGCTCCCCGCAATTTCCAGGATCCCCTGGGGCCTACGGGTGGGTGGGTGGGCAACCTCATTCACAATCTCAAGCACTATTCTTCCTATCTTTGAGAACAGAACAGAGCAGCGGGGGCAACCTCGACACTAGCCATGACAGTTCATCCGCGGACTCCTGCACGCGGGCTTGGCCGAGAATGGACAGCTGCTTCAAGATACGGCCCTTCTTCTCGTATCGTCGGCAGGAAGCGATGACGTTCCACCGACCACGCTTCTGGATCGTGAGGGTGTCGATCCCGTTCAGTGCGTCGACTGAGGCCCCTCCATGTCGGAGGCTGTGTGGACATAGCTTGAGGTTGCCGAAGTTCAAGGCCTGACAGGCCCGCCTGAAGATCAACTCGTATTTCTGGGCGGTGAGGTCTGGGAAGAGATATTCCCCGGGCTTGACGGCCTTCAGGATCTGGACCAGGATCGCTCGCAGGACTGGCCTGCGCTCTGGTGCCGTCTCGCCAACGAGGACCGTGTCGTCGCAGGCACCCGCCTTCGTCGGCTTCCCGAGCTCCTTCGGTGCAACGATGAGGGAGTAGAAGCTCCGAGGGCCTGAGCGGGCTTGGGGAGGGACAACCTGGCCCCGACCCAACGAGATCGCTTCCGAGATCCTTAGATAGGTGTCGAACATGAGGAGGGCCAGGCCGGCCGCCTGGACCGACTCGCTCGAGCCGTGCCGGGCCATGAAGCCCGCCAGACAGATGGCACACTCCCAAGGGGCGCCATCCCGCGACACGCTGCACGAACTCTTGCGGTAGCCTTGAAGGGCCTTCCGAGTGAGCGGGAACTCCGACGTCTTTGACCACGTGAGGTTCTGCTCGTACATGAGTCCGTGCACTGTGTTGTTCGGCCGAGAGATCGTCTCCCCATCGAAATACAGCTTGTGCAGGTACTGCTCCATGGCCACGTCCAGCTCCTGGTACGTGGTGGTGGGCATCATGACGCTCTTGCAAAACAGGTAGAACAGCTTCACTGCCTCGGTGTACACACGCAAGGTCTTGGCGGAGATCGAGCGGCTCTTCAAGTACCCCTCCTGCCGAGAACCTCCTGCTCTGGTGGCCCTCGCTCGTGCTCGGTCGGAGCGCACGGCGCCCGCCTTCGGCTCGCCCGAGCCACGGTCGGTCGAGCCTGGCGCCGGGAGGCCCACAGTGGTCAGCAGCTTGGCGGTCGCCCGCGAAGCCGAGAGCAGCGATGGCTTGCCGCCTCCTCTCGGCACTGGACCCGCACATGGCGTGTCCTGTCGCGCGCTCCCATCCAGTAGCAAACCGCCGTGGACACGTCGGCGCGGCGAACGGCTGCGGGGCGACCCCGACCTCGCCCGCCAGCTCATCGGCACAAGACTGGCAGTGCACTGGCTCCCCCGCTCGAAGAAACGCCCCGGGCGGAGCAGCCTGTTTGAGCCTAGCGGCATACACGCGGCAAACACCAGGCGGATAGGCTGCGGCCAACGATGTTTTCCAACGCCAAGTAGGACGACCGCTTGGGCCCTCGACCTCGACCTTGCCCTCGAGGATCTCGTGGGGGACCCGGCAGTTACACCTCCTGTCCAGGGCCCCGAGAGAGACCACGTTAGTAAAGAATACCGTAGGCTTCTTGAACGGGGCCCCGTACCTGCACGCGTCGTACCTGACAGGACTGCACGAGCACTTCTGGAGCTCCCTCTTTAGTGGCTCGTAGGACCATATCCCAGATGAGGCCGGGTTCTCCACCGAGACCGTGACCCCGCACTGACGACATACCCGTAGGACACGACAACTGAAGAGTGCCAACTCCAGGCCCCTGGTGACCTCGTTGGAGTCCTCGGAGCCTGTAGATCTTGCTTGGGACCAGCGGG